ACCATTTGTTATTATTATTATTATTATTATATATATTATTATATATTATATATTACATATTATTATATACATAATGTATATTACCATATATATGTATAGTGTATCTATTATATATACGTACAGCGTATACGCATATATATATATGTATATATGGTATAATACGAAAATGTATAAGTAATAGAACTTACTTCGTCCACTGGGATATGGTCACCGTTTTCTTCGAGACATTTCGAATAGTGCGGAACTTCTGCAATGAAATAATCATCAACGCGTTACGCCCTGGTAAAATTGAAAGAACGATGCAAAATGCGAATATATTATGAATATTATTATGTTATTATTACAGTATCGTATCGTGTATCGTCGAATTTGTTCTTAATCGAGGGAACACGTTGACGGACTATAAGCAACTCAATTGGGTAAATCAAGGAAATTTTCGGATAAGGTTGAAAGGGGTTTAGCAAAAGGAAACCTGTCGTCCAACTTGTTCGTGTCACGCGAGTTCACGGGTTCGACGAAGTAGGGCAAGCAAGCACGTTCCTACTATCATGAATTCTTAACGTCCGGAGCCTGTACAATGTGCACTTCGGAGCTAAAGGTGAATCTACGAACACGAATTTAATTCATCAAAATTTCATTTTCGGAAAGATCAAGCCGGCTTTCATCGTTCCGAAAAGTTGTTTTTATTATTCATTCATTTATGTATTAATCAAACCGGCTAATTACCCTTTAGATTACAGAATATTATGCAAACTAATAATTTAGTTATAGAGTAAGCTCTAGAGAGAAGGAAGAAAGAGAGACAGAGAGAGAGAGAGAGAGAGAGAGAGTGTGTGTGTGTGTGTATGTAAATTAACTAAATAAATTAAAATAAATTAGAATAAATTAAAATAAATTAAAATAAATTTACTAGACATTGTAAATTAAATGTTCTCATAATATTGCTATAGCTCGATTTTCTCGATACGTGATAAACACTGTGTAGCTAGACTATCTCTGTTTTTCAATCGTATCTTGACACGAAGCGACAGGTGGGAACCAATTGACAACATCGTCGTCGTACCGCGTAACCGGTACATCCGCTAAACTGTCGATCATTCTGTAAAATCAAATTTTCTTAGTTTCGCACGATTCCTGTTGACTTGTCTTTCGTTAGCTCGTTTTGTGTTTGCTTGGAGCGAAAGCTTAGAGTTAAGCAAATGCCATTTCCTCTGGGAAGATTACCGAGCTTTCAAGTTTATTGTTTCAGACATGTATCTCTGCCTTCGATATAGACGCGTAAACTGTCTATACTTCCGGAATCCAGCCTAGATTCCAAATAGCTAATTCCAAATAATGAATAATAAATTATAACAATAAATAATAATAAATAAAAAAATAATAATAATAGATAATAATAGATAATAAATAATACTAATAAATAATAATAGATAATAAATAATACTAATAAATAATAATAATAGATAATAAATAATACTAATAAATAATAATAATAGATAATAAATAATACTAGTAAATAATAATAGATGATAAATAATACTAATAACTAATAATAGATAATAAATAATACTAATAAATAATAATAGATAATAAATAATAAATAAAAAATATAATCCAAATAGCAAATTCGCATCTTAGATTTTGCTTCGGAGTCCGGATTGCCACGGTGTTCGCGAAGGGTAGATGACGATAATCGCTAGCTAAGAGACCGTCGTTCTTATTGTTTTCTTTTCCTCCACCGTTCAATTCGGTTTACGTTGGCCTCTAAATAAGCAGAACGATCCCATGAGAAAACCACTAATCTCCTGGATCATTCGACCATTTAACCCATCGATACCCTTTACCCACCGTAGGTTCCACCATTCCGGTGATTACGGTTTGTTAAATATTTCAAGTAGCGCGTCTGCGATCGATCGCGTTAATTAACGTTGACTGAATGGCGACGATGGTGGCTGCGGTACTGGCGGTGGTAACGGCGGTAACAGCGGTAACGGTAACGGTGACGGTGACTATTTAACTTGTCGGCATTTCCGCCGTTGCGTCGCACGTTGCATCCGGCGAACGATTTTTTCATCCGCGACAGTTTACATTTTTCGTAACATCCGCGGCCCGGAGAAATTAGACTCTAGCTTTCAAATTAAATAAGTTCACGTTTCAACCCCCGATTGGCGGCCCGTGCTATTCTACGCGTATGCTATATTGCTATAGCGCTTCTACTATTAACTCCTTGCACTCGAGTGGCGACCCTGAGGCGACGCTAAAAATTGTTACACTGTTTTCAAAAGAATTGTTACATTATTAAATTTGTCTGTATTCGAAAAATTGTCAAATAATAGAAGTCAACATATATAAATAAATAATATATATATATTGTTTTATTATATTATTTATATAAATATATATATTTATATATAATATATAAATATATATGTATATTTATATATATAAATATTGTCAAATAATATAAGCATACACGTTCAATTTTTCATATGTATGAAATAAAAAACAATCATACCAAATGGAAATACTATAAGATTCAAACAAATATCTTTATTTTGGGGTTAAAATAGTCTCGAGTGCAAAGGGTTAACTCTATGCACTCGAGTGGTGACTCTGAGGCACCACTAAAATTGTTACATCACGTTCCAAGATAATATTTATATCATCGAAGCTTCGATATAAAAAGATTGTTAAAAGCCTAACTGTTGTACGAGTCACAAGACTGAATTTCATATGCATGAAATGCACTTTGTCGTATAAAATGGAAACACTATAAGCCGGGAAAGTTAATTTAGATTTACAGCCAGAATGGCTTCGCGAGTGCAAAGGGTTAAGACTGCATGATTCGTCTTCACGAGAATATGAAAATATTATCAGCTCGATAGACCCTCTCGTCGATGACGAACGAGATACAGGTTGCAGGATGCAAGGTATAAGGTGCAAGGAGCAGGGTACAAGATATAGGTTGCAAGGTGTAAGATGTTTTCAGACTGCGACGCGTTCCCACCGGTTGCCTCGTGGACGTTTCGTCCACGTATACAGAATAAAACGAACACGCGGCGAGAATACAAAAAGTAATCGTGCATTCTAACTAATTCCATTTACGTCGCTGTGACGTTATGGTATCGATTACATTTGCGGTTTTAATTGCGATGACGCAAAGTTGGTTCACCGAACCACTCGGCTCGGCGCCGACATTATAAGCGCGATAAAAACTGTCGCGTACATTTCTGCGGTTCCCGAGGAAAAAGTAATCGTCGGGGTTCGCGTTTCTTTAATCGCGAACGGGGGTCAGCCCGTGGCCGCGCGCCAACGGTTCCAAATTGAAAATTGAAACTCGTCGATTCGATACGATTATGCTCGAACCGATATGATGCCGCTAACGAGTACTTTTCAACCGCATGGGAAATATGTTCGAATGATTTGCGCGTGGGTAGACTTTTATTCGCGACCCACGCCAACGCGTAATCCTGTAAAAAAAAAAGGTTCAATATCACACGAGCTCGTGCCCTGATAGCCATTTAGAAATACCAGATAGCAACAGTTTATTTATAGACGCGTTAATTTTAATCGATATCGCGAATTTACTACGCGAGAGTGATAATGTGGGACAAACGATAATAAACACGGGTTTCCGCACCGTCGGACGCGACATTTGATTTTTTTGCGCGACGGCGCGGAATTGCGGAAGTTCGACTTCGGGAGGATCAAGCGTTTCGCGGCAGAAGCTTCTCTCTCCGCTATTACACGTGCGTGTAGGTCAAGTAACGGAGGGGAAATCTTCTCGCGCATCGATCGCCTAATTGATTCCAGCTTCCGCAATGATTCAGCGAGATTCTGCAATGCAATCTTACCATTTCCTAGAGTACATGGAAAACATGCAAACTGAATCTAGAGTTTAGAATATTTCTCTCTAAATCAACAAGTTCATCGGCATCTGTATGAAATAAGACAAAATTCCGAAACTTTTTTCTCTTCTTTTCCGTTTGTCCCTTTTTTAAATGTGCGACGGTTAGCAGATGCGTGAAGACTTCTACGGGTAATTTTATACCGTGCGAACGGTAATTAAGACGCGGATAACCACGAATATTATATTATTATATTATTATATATGGAAGCTCGAATCACCGTCGACATTGAGTAAAGCTTTCTACAAAGTCTCGAACAGAATCGCGGATAGATAGAGGTTGCTGCACTATCACAGTAGGATCGAATTTATCGATACGCGTTAATTGATAGGACACTTACCTCGGAAATCAATTTTAACTACCTTCTCCCCTTTACATTTCAGTCCTTGAAAGTTCTTTACCAGAACAACAAGCGCCATGCTCCGTAATTCGTAATCCGTAATCAACGATCGGTAACCCGTAATCCCGTAGTTCGTAATCCGTAATCAGTAATCCGTAATCAATAATCCGTAGTCCGTAGTCCGTAATCAGTAACTCGTAATCCGCAATCCGTAGTCCGTAATCCGTAATCCGTAATGCGATGAGTTTTCAGATTGAAGATCCCGAGCAATTTAACGTTCGTTTGCGGCGAAGGATTTAAGGTGCCTCAGTGAACACGTCTCACCACTGACCGCGTTCCGCGTCTCTGTCATCGTCAGCCGTCGATCCGTCGGTTGTCTATCGACCCCGTAAAGATCACGAAAGGTGGACCAGCATCAACGGCAACGACAACGACACCGACAACGACAACCGGAGCAAGTTCATTCCCCCGGACGAGCTTACGGACTGTTTAGTCCGCGTTAAGCGAGACGCGAGCGTTTCGATCACGAGAAAATGTTCTCGCCGAGATGCCCGAAAGGAGAAGTTTCTGTCGCGATCGGCCACCGAAAAAGCATGTACGCGAGCCGAACGATAGTCAGCTTCGCACTGACCCGCGTTCGCATCTCGAACAACCCTCGAGTCCTGACTGTCCTACACCCGTCCTACCCGTCCTACCCGACCTACCCGACCTACCAGTCCACCCCATGCCAGCATCCAGGACATTCGGCGCACGCGCTACTCGCTTCTCCGCGTGTACACGAACCGTACGCATCGCGGCAGCGATCCGTTTCGTCCTCGCCCTCTCCATCACTCTCGTCCGAAGAATCATCGAGTCTGTACTCGTTTGCTTTGTCACAGCGCAATCGGTGACGTAAGCAGCATCCGATTCCTTCGCGGATTTCCTTCCTTCGGCAACAAGTCATCGATGACCAGTAACCAATAACAAGTCGTCGATAACCAGTAACCAATAACAAGTCGTCGATAACCAGTAATCAATAACAAGTCATCGATAACCAGTAACCAATATCAAGTCATCAATAATCAGTAAGCAATAATTAGTAACCAATAACCAGCAAGCACCAACCAGCAAACAGTAATTAGTAACCAATAATCAGTAATCGGTAATCAGTAATCAGTAACCAGCAAACAGCAACCAATAATCAGTAATTAGTAATCAGTAAACAGTAATCAATAACCAGTAACCCATAACCAGTAACCAGTAACCAATAAACAGTAATCAACCAATAATCAATAATCAATAACCAATAACCAGTAACCAGTAAACCGTAATCAACCAATAATCAATAACCAGTAAACAATAAACAGTGATGAACCAGTAACCAGTAAACAGTAATCAACCAATAACCAGTAACTAGTAAACAATAATCAACCAATAACTAGTAACCAATAACCAATAGCCAGTAACCAATGACCAGTGACCAGTAACCAGTAACCGGCAACTAGTAACTAAATAGCAATAGTAACCAGCAACTAGCTAGTAACCAATAACCAGTGACCAATGACCAGTAATCAATAACCAGTGACCAGTGACCAGTAACCAATAACCAGCAACCAGTTACCAGTAATCAGTAATCAGTAATCAGTAATCAGTAACCAGTAATCAGTAACCAGTAATCAGTAATCAGTAATCAGTAATCAGTAATCAGTAACCAGGAACCAGCAACCTGTGTATATAAACCAGTAACCAAATATGCAAAGGCTGCATATAATGGACGCATCGATCTTATCCAGTGTTTTCTTTTGTTAATGTAAAATATATATACCCACCGACTGTAACGCTAAGCTCTAAACGACATATCACGTTTCCCTTCGGCGCGGTAATTTCAGTAGAAAACGCGATATCTTGTTTCCCGACGAGTTAAGAATTCTTTTACGCTTCGACCGTAGAAGCATTTCTTGCATGAAAGAACTTCATACACTCCCTCGAACACAATAGTACGCTCTTTCGTACGTTGTAAACGTTCTAACGCGTTTAAACATTGTTTTGTAAGAGGGTGACGCTTGTAGCGAACCAATTTACTCGGATATTTCTCCGTCTTCTTCTCTTGTAAATTAAAATAACCAGAGAAAAACTAGAAAACTTGAGAACTGGGTCATTTCGCCTGACGCTGAAATGCCAAGGCGCAAAAGAAAAGCTGAAATTGGTTGAACAGCGCGTGATAGGCGTGGAGGCAAACGAATGTCGTTCGGTCCAACATCTTCGACTTCTTGTCAACCTACATATCGCGCGGCTATTTCACCAGTCTATTGTACATAGAGACATAGAGAATAGACAATAGATATAGACTATATCGTTATTATTTTATTAATTAAACCGACTAAATATTATTATTACACAATATTATTATATTATTATATTATTATTACACAATATTATTATATTATTATATTATTATTACACAATATTATTATATTATTATATTATTATACATTATACAATATTATTATAATATTATTATATTACACAATATAATACGAGCTAATAATTTAGTGAGAGAGTGCTCGGTGTAAATTGCGCTGGAAGATTTGGGAATCACAGAAAGAAATTAACTGATGATAATTCTATCGATACAATTATATCGATGCCATAAATGATGCAGTGGGTTTCCTCTCTTAGGATATGATGGTGCCTAAGGGAAAGACGCGAAGTTACAAAATTAATCTTAGAATATCGGAGGCGGTTATGAATCCGTTTATCATTTTATAGGCATAAACAAGATCGAACTTAGTATGTGTTCAAGAGACATTAAATTAAGATAATTTGAAGTATGCCTATCATCATGATCAGATAGGGATAAAACTAGCCTGCAATAATCTAGCGACTATAGTTTATACGTAGAGTGTAGAGTGTTACGAATAGAATAAATGGGATAAATTTTCTGAAAACTGTACATGGTGGATGTTAAACTTTGTTTGCGCGTTCGTATGGAGAAAATACATACCAGACGAACGTCCAAATTTATCCAGCTTCCTTTCGATCGGCTGAATAATAAATAGATTACCAAAGATCGAAGCGTTCGCGTCCCTGACTCGCACGGAAAAATAGAATGGATGAGCGATCCCGTATACCGCGAGAACAACGAAGCGAGATTAGCGAAAACCGCGCAGGAAATTAAATCGAATTGTTACGGGAGACTAGGAGTCGACTTGTTCGCCTCTTCGAGAAGTTCTTCGGGAAAAGGTTATTTGGAAGGAGGTTCTTTCAAAGGACGTTCTTTCAAAGGAGGTTCTTTGGGGGTTCCGGGCTTCCGGGTAGATCAATAATATGGTAGAAGTTAGGTCTGAAATTTCTCAGCGCCACCCTAATACACGATTTGGAACTAACAACTGTTGCTCTTTTCTAACTTCGACCTCGTCTACCTCCTGAAATCCCCAACGCCTTACCTTCTAATCGCGCATCATTTATACGTCAATACGCATTCGAATTCCTTCCCTCGCTCTTCTGTATCGTGTACGTGTACTACTATAGTCTATTCATAGGCATTAATTATGTATTTGACGCGCATACATTAATTATGTATTTGACATGCCGTTGCCTGTCGCAAAGTATAGCCAACGGTTGATCAATGGTTACAGGGATAACAACTATGACAGACTGCATTCTCTCCAGTTTCGATTCGATAAAACTGAATTACTTTGATCTTATTAGATTCAGTATAACTGGACGATTAACGGGCTAATCGATCGCGACGATGTCGAAGAAATTATCGCGTCAGCGAAGCTGCGGAAATACTCGTTACGTACAATTATGTGTACAATTAGTCGCACAATTAGTCGCACAATTAGTCGTGCTCTTTTGCAAAATTCGACGTGTACTATGTTTTTTACCCGAATTAGAGATTCGCATCGCTTCCACGTAATTAAATAATACGTCGCGTCATTGCCTATTTCTTTGCAGATACCCATGTCGGTAAGGTGAGAGTCGCATCGAGGCAAATGACAGAAGAACGTGTGTACCATGTTATGCACGTCTGTGTGTGGGAGAGATGGACAAGGAGCGTGCGGCAGAGCGCAGAAGCAGTTTGGTAGGCAACGAGAAGGCGTGCCTCCTCGTATCGTAATCTAGCATTTTTCTTTCACGTTCGTGTTAAATTGCGTGGATGCTGACTCGTGAATTTCTTCAATCCTTGCTCCTATCCATCTCACCGAATCGTTTTCATCTAATTGCATACGGACCTCGAGATTCTGTCGTCATAATCGTCGCCGAGCGCCGAGTCCTGTTGCATCTCACGTGTACGCGAGCGGCGCGCGATGTTGGTAACGTTAGTATGTTTACATATAACTTACGCCCGGGCATAGGCGAGCCTCGGTTGGTGGGCCAATCTTAGCTCTTCAGACATCCTTCGCACACTCGCGCGATGCGAGAAACGATATGACATTATTTCTTCTGCTCTCCGCGCGGGGCTGCCACATGTCATGTGTAGCAATGCGCACGGAGTGGTAGTAGTGGAGCTTATGGCCCGCGGCCGAAATGACTCGGCCTAGTCTTATGTAATACGAGGAGATGTACTAGAAGAAGGACAGCAGAGCGAGAACGTTAAACGCAAAATTTGTCGACGGATTAACACGCGGAATATCGTATTCGCAAACGCTTATTTCGCACAAAATCGAGTACCGATTTTGGCGAAGTCGAAGCATGGGTAATATAATAGATTTTTATGATAGTATATGTAATTGATAGTATTAATTAAAATAGTATTATTAAAATAGTATAAATAATATAATAAATAGTATATATATATACTATTATATATATATTATATTATTATATATATATTATATATACTATTTATTATTATTTATACTATTTTAATAATACTATTTTAATATTAAAAAATCTGTTATAAAATATATATATATTTTATAATAGAAAACAGAGACGTGTCGGTTATTTCGTATCGATCACGTCGCAGCAACGACGATGCTCTATATCCGCTTTCAGTTACGTTAACTGTTACGACTTTACGGCTTACGATTTATGATTTGCGATTTACGATTTTCGGTTTTACGGGTTCACGGCTCACGTTACCCCGGAAACTGTTGCTACGGGCACGCTTTATGCCGCGTCCGATGTTTTAAGAAAGTGCATACCTCGGCGAGCGTCGTTGCATCACGATATTGTATCGGGATTATTATTGGCTCGAGCGGTCGGTGAAAGCGAACGTTTTAAATCGAGCGATAAAAAATGAGAAACTTGACAAGAAAAAAGAAAACACATGTCGCTTTATTTCCATAAATGAACTCTTCGTTGCATCGCGATCGACAGCTGCAGCGTCGAATAAACGTAGGTACAAATTGTTGCTTAGACTAGTAAAGTGACTGAAACCGCGCACAAATCACCACGATTTATTTAGTTGGAACAAATTTTCACCTAAATCCCCGACATGCACACCTACACATACACAAAAACTGCGACTCGGTCCGTTCCAGAATTCAAGTATGGAAATTGAATCGCTTCCGTTACAGCTTAGGGCTTACCATAGAACTTAATGCATACAGCTTACTTAGGAGATTACAGGTTACAGATTCTCGTGATTACGCGTTCGTCATCGATCGCCGCGTAGTTCGAGCGTAAAGGTACTACGTAACGTAAAATTGGGAATGTTAAATTTTTCAATGATTCGATGGTAGAAGTATCGATGCTCGAGGAACGTCCTCGAAGAACGAAATCGTTTCGAAGTTGATCCAGCCGCCTTGGCCTACTTGCTCGCGCCCAAAGCAGTCATCGTCGTCGTTGCCGCCACTGCAGCCACTGCTGCAACCGCTACTGCTACCATTTTTCTCCCAAGAAAAGGATGCGACGGATCAACCTGAAACTATCCCCGATGCCGACGCGTCTTCAGTGTTGAATCCTCCAAATCGCTGCGCTCACAGCCGGCAACGATGTGATATACTGTATAACAGAGTCCACGCAAAATCTGGCGATCGCGACGTTCTTGTAGATCAAGTACAACATTCCCAATCGGAACGAGTACACAGTGATCAAGTGTACAATGTACATTCTGTGAAACAAAGGTTATGTCAAGGTTATGTAAGGGCGGGTTCCTCGGATCATTTGAAACAACTTCTGACTTTACAAAAATTTTCTCCGAGGCACCGTTAACGAGTTATTAACGAAAAACAGTGGACCAATAAGAATCGAGTACGGCTGACGCGTGGCGGCCCAGCCAACCAGCGCGCGAAGCCCAGTTCCGCTCATTGGCTCGGTCGCCTCGCGCCAGCCGAGCTCGGCTCTCATTGGTCACTGTTTTTCGTTAATAACTCGTTAACGGTGCCTCGGAGAAAATTTTCGTAAAGGAAAAAGTTGCTTCAAATGACCCGAGGAACTCGCCACCTTTGGATTGCGAGACATTTTTGGAACACCCTGACAACGCGTAGATAAACGTCTAGGTATAGATATCGTATACGTACATTGCTTGATGTCTACGAGCTTTCGGTATAGTGGACAAATTCTCTTTCATACAGTACTGCCGTGCCCCTAAAATACACCATTTCATGTAATCCTCGATGTCGATCACCAGAAAGTCTACCGGGAATATTTCCTTGTCCTTGGGACTCATTTCGCCCCACATGATCAACAAATTTGTGTTGTGGAAGACCCATTCCTTGGTCGTGAAATACTGCAACACATCCAGCCCGTCCGAGATTCGCTTTTGAATTCGAACCATACTGGACGAACAAACGACGCGCAACGATCAGACAGAAGTAAAAGAGAAACAGAGAAAGAAATAATTGCAATTCCGATACTCACAATCGTTTCTGTTGAAATATCAACATAAGGAAGTCGATGAAATATGCCGGGATAATATGAAAGAAGAAAACGAAGATGTTGTGCACCAGCTTGCTGCTGCGTATATCGCCGTCCGGGTACCAAATTTGTCCCTCGAAAGGATACGTGTGACAGATCCTTTTACCCCTCTCCACGATTTCTCCCCAAGTGATCGGCAACACGCCGCTTTGCGTGATATTGTACACTGGCATGTTCTTTGGCCTGAAACGAGTGGTATCGTACGTGGACAAAGCGAAAGTGGAAGAGAATGAAAAAAAGAAGAAGGAAACTCTGATCGAGATTCGACATACTTTCCGGCGATGGCCGTCTTGTGGGCGATCGAGATCAACGCGTTGATCGCCAGATCGACGGGTACCACTTCGGCGTGGTAGCCCGCGTTACAGTGCATCGACCTTATCACTCCTTTCCCTGCGCCCACCAACAGACCGACCGGACCATTCAAGTTGTCTACCCACCCATTCAGCGGTTCCTTCCCAGCTGGAGTCACTGTACAAGCAACGGTATCGTTATTGGACTATAAGCATCGAATCGGCGGTCTAATTATACAGGCTGTCCCAAAATTATGGTACTCCCGGGAAATGAGGGGTTCCCGAGGTCATTTGAAGTAACTTTTTCCTCAGCGAAAATGCAAACCGCAGCTTCGTTTACGAGTTAGCAACGAAAATCAGTGACCAATGAGAGGCGAGATCAGCTGGCGCGAGACGGCCGAGCCAATGAGCGGAGCTGGGCTGCGTGCGCTCGTTGGCTCGGCCGCCTCGCGCCATCAGAGCTCGCTTCTTATTGGTTGGCGGTTTTCATTAATAACTCGTAAACGAAGCCGCGGCTCGCATTTTCGCTAAGGAAAAAGTTACTTCAAATAATCTCAGGAATCCACGACTTCCGGATTGCGAGACATTTTTGGGACACTCTGTGTATAGAATGTAATGTTCTCGTACTCGCACGAGATGCTTATCGATGACAATAAGTAGCCTTAATACGTTTACCTATCGATGGTCTAGCAATGCAGCACGGTAAGTTCTGATACTCGTTGGACACCAATTTCTCGGCCAATCGTTTCGAGTACGTGTAAGTATTTGGATGTTTATCCAACAACCTGAAACAACGAATAACGATAGTACGTCGCACGAGTTTCAGTTAGTCGATCGTGGAAATAGTGTGAATCTTTCTGTGAATTACTTCGGCGTGATGAGATTAATGGCAGATTCGTCCATCCACTGTATCAGATCCATAACTTTGTTGGGATCGTCCGGTGCGTCGTATACTCGTTCTCCAAGCTCGTCCAGATCGGGGTGACAAAATGCCGTACTCAAGTGGACGAACGACTTCAGGCGCTTCATCTTCTTCGCGAGATCCAACACTCTTTTCGTTCCAATCTGGAAAGCAAATTTTAACGGAGCACTGATCGAGAGCACTTGATTGAGAATAAATTTGAACAGAGCACCGATGCAGTCGCGCGGGATTACGGATTCCAATCCGAGGAAATCCGGTATACGCGTGTTCGAGTACGCGAAAGGAAAGTTCACTTCTAGCGAAGAAATGTTTACCGTGTTCATTTCGATGGCATCGGGCAACTTTGCCTCCAATCTAAGCGTAGCCGCGCAGTGAAACACTACGTCGACTTCATCCATTAACGTTTCCAGTTGCGCCTCGGTCAATCCTAGATGGTCGAGGGACACGTCTCCGTTCAACGCAATCACCTTTTTCATTGTTTGCGGCTTCTGGTTTCTTATCCTTTCGAACATCTGTAATTGATGCGAGCTGGATTATACGCTCGCAACCTTAACTTTCCTTTCTAATTACAGTACTTAGTTCCAAATAGATGTGTACGTGTAGCATACTTTTACCCGTTTCTCGATTAAGAAAAAATAAAGCAAGTTCTAATAAATTAACTGCAGGTATTACGTAGAATGTCTAATATCGAATAGTAGATAGTTTACGAATGTAATATGGAACGTACATACTATTATACAAGCAAGTGTAAAGAATCGAAAAGGGGAAGCTACTTACCGGCAATTTGAACATATCATCGACACGAATATCAGGGGACCGGCCTTTCTTCGATCTTATCAAAATATAAATCTTATTCAATTCGGTGCAACTGTACAGCAACTTCTCGATGAGCACTTTTCCCATGAAACCGGTTCCCCCGGTTATAAAAATGTTCTTTCCCTTGTAAAAGGACTGTATCTCGGTTAACTCGCCCATAATTGGGACCCTAGAACGAAACGAAGTAAAAAGAAAGATTCGAAGCGAACCGGGAAGCTCGCGATTAGCGCGGTCAGATTAGAATTGCGCGAAGTATTAGCCCCGCTATGTTATTCGAAAGGAATCCGAAATCATCGTTACGGGAGCAATCTTTCGATTAACTAAGACGCGGAAAACACGTTCACTTTCGCGCGGTGGACGATAATCATTTCCATGTCATCTCGTTAACGTGAAACGAAGTCAACAACTTTCCAAAATTCCATCCCTTCCGAGTCAGATGCCCGACAGTGTTTGAGTTTGCAACCCCATTCCCGAGTAAACCAATTCGGTATCGTTCGGAATCATCGCATTCGTTTCTGTTTTAATTCTTCGTTAGTTCGAATTTCATTATGGACGATAGCTCTGCGGAATAGTTTTAGGAACTTTCTTCGCTCGTTGTCACTCGAAGTTGGAGGTTTCGGCATTACTTAGGAGTATAAAATACTTTGACTAGTACGTAGAAGACAAAGTTCAAGGAGGACTAAACATTCAATGCTACTAATACGCTGATAAAACGACGCCCGTTCGAGTAAAGGTGCTCTCGACGTCCGATTGCAACAGATCTCGTTGCTGTGTGTTAATTGTGTTGTACGGCTGCGCGTTCCGAGTTGCAATCAAGGGACAGTTGAATGCACGATTAAAAAGGTGCTCTTCGTTGCGAAACATCGGTCGCGTTGATTTCTAAAGTTCGCGAACCGTGTCCAACTTTGGATCCTCTTCTTTTTTTCACTTTCCGTAATATCGTTCAGCCGGTGCCGAAGTGAAGCCAGTTCGGCCAGTGAAATCGTTCCGCGGTTCTCTGAGCAAGCATTCGATTAGTTCGATGATTTCTACGGAGATACCGAGGATAAGACGCTCTTCGAGAAACCAGATACAATCCGCTAATTATGATCTAAATGACTAGAATCGGTGTCGCAGCTATCGTTGTCGATGCACGGACAATGAAATAACAATTAAATAATATAAACGCGTCGATTCGACGCCGTCGTCGCGGTCGACACCGAAATAGAAAGCGATGGAGCAGAGAAGATAAGCGAATAGAAATTTGAACAGTGTACCCAGATGCATTCCAGTCTCGGGAGTCGAGAGTAAAATCTTACAACAACAAAAAATCACATGTTGCAACACCAAACTGGTTCTCGTCACCTTTTACGATTCAGCAACGATCGATGCAACATTGTATCACTCTAATAAATAGATTGGTTGACTGGGGCTGGCTGGCTTGACCTGTCCATGATCGAGTTCCCATAAGATAATTATCCATGTTTCTGTGTCAGAACCGTAGTAATCTTATGGAGCAAGATACAATGTTCGCTTCGATCGAATCACGGAAGCATATTGGAAAAAAGTATCAGGAGAAAATAATTAACCATCATTACGTTTTACGTAAACGGAGTAAATTCCTATTCTTAACTTCACTTAATAATTCACTGAATAATTCACTGAATAATTGATATGTTTACACTGTTTACACTTGCGTGCCGTGGCAGCTACGCGTACGTAAAAATTACGTAAATTTATGCGGTAGAACCTGAGCACTTTAATTACATTTTATAGATACGTAAATCGTAGAGCATCATTCTAATCTGGGCGAACTCGTTCTATCTGGTAGAGAGCTATCCGATAAAAGTGGCTGATCCGGTAAAAAGCCAGAGAAAGAAGATAAGACTCGAGTGAAAGGAAATACGCGCTAATACGTATTACGAATATACGCGAGACAGTTAGAACACCGTGTGTACAGCTGTGTGTTTATTACAATATATGTACACGCGCGTGTACGAGTAATTATACAAATGTATATTACGTAATTACATTTAGAAACTTGGCTTGCCTATTGCATATCTGCGTCTACAATCACTGCAGGGAGAACCGCACGAAATCATTCAAACTGTATCGGAAACGGCAAACTACCGATCAGCAATCGTAATTGCTACGTTTCATCGAAGACCACGGTTCCGAGAAACGATATTGACACATATGACCGATGTAAATACGCGAGCGAATACATTCTATTTATTCGAGTTAAAGGTTTCATCGATGCTCTTTCCATGGCAGCTGCGGTTGTTCGGACAAATGATGTGGGAATGGAATGGAAAGCGGCAGCACAGCTTGTCGAGGGTTGATAGCGAAGAATTCGACGAGTTCATTGACCACGATACTTGCGTAAAAGCTGGTGTAAGTTTCGGATTTGACAGTAACACTCTGGGGACGATCGCGACGGCTCGTAACGGGCCCGAACCCTCGGGATAAAGCACTTGTACAGCTAGTACCGGTAAATTGTACTTTAAAGAATCGGCATCGGTCGTAGCCGCGGTGCTTGTTTCGATGACACGTTTTGAATGACTCGGACACCACTACGCGCGGCATTTTTAACGCGTTTCGACTTGAACGGTTCGAACGTCCCGCTCTGAATCTACCAAACAACTTGCCCCCAAGGTGTAGATATCATGAATTCCAATTAATGATCGCATCGTCGCGTCTTGAAGAGGCGTGAATAGATCGCGTTGATTCAAATTGCACGGGTTGCGAACGCTTTAGCGTTAAAACTTGTCGACGGACTTACCTGCAGCCTAATAGTTTACCAGAGGAAAATAGATTAGAATGCGAGTCGTCGATTTGGAGTTATTAGCAGCTTTGGCTGGTGTTAATGTTCGTTCTCATTAGCCGAATTTGGCTGGGCAGAGTGTGGTGAACGTGGTGAATGTGCAGAACGTGCCGTGCCGAAGGAGAGAAAGAATCACGAACCGCGTGCTCGGACCCACTGAGCTCCACCGTGGTTCGCGCAACAGTTCTATCCAGCGAAATAACGTTGTCTCCCCACCTGTTCACGACTTTCTTGCTCTTCCTCCTCTTCTTTTTCTTCTCCTTATCACTATTATTTTTGCTATTATTCTTCAACTTTACGAACATCATCACCATCATCATCATCATCTTCGTCTTCTTCTTCCTCCACTTTTCCTCCTTTTTCTTTTCGTTCTTCTTTTTATGCCGATGCTGCCTCTCACAGGATTTCTATCGCCCATTCTCGATAATCTTTAAAATGTGTCCTCTACAAAAGTTTCCGCAATTACCATGATCAATTAAGAAAAGAAGACCTCGTTCTAAATAATGTACAATTCATGCATACGGCTATTCTTGTTGACGACCTACTCCGCTTCGACGGGAAAAAAGAAATACTTATGCGCGTCGAGCGTGGATCATGGAACGCGAAAGGATGAAACCCGTGGTTCGTTCGAATCAAAGAAATCTAATCCAAAGTCTAATCCTACGGTCCCTTTTTGCACGGTAATAGCAATTAACGGTGCGCTCGCTGTTCTATCGAGATATGTAGATCAAATCCTAAAGTGGGTATCAAAAAAATAAATGAAGTGGATACGTCTTAATGAAGATACTCCTTTTAGTTCCGTGATCATTTTCAGCTGAGTCAGGTGTTGTTAATTCGTATAAAATAGTGATGTTCCATTAACAAGGAAGCGCGCGTGTGCTTCCGGGAACGGGAAAGTCAAAAAAGACAATCTGGAAAAAAATCTGAAAGTGTTGGGCCTTTCGAGAGAACATCGAAAACATTGCGTTAGAAGCTAGACTAAAACAACGAAGGTATGTTCATTTCTGTCGCTGTGAACTCTTTCACGAGAGTCTCTACATAGTCTCTAGCATTGCTTTTACCGGCGACCAGCACCGGTACCACTTTACCGCGGTACCCCATAAACTTTCATTGCGCAAACAACATTACGTAAAGTTGATGCACATTATAGTTCGCCGACCTCTTTCGAATTATATATTGTTCGGTTTTATCGCGAGATTTTCGGCTCCTCGTTCATTAGAACACATCGATTGCTATAGCTTGTTACTTACGTTTTCTCCGTTTTCTAAGGCACTCTTTATACGTGCGCGTACAACCAAATTTTAATCGTTTTACAGCAAATGTCGAAATAATTATGCCAGTCGGTTCGCCGCGTCGACTCATCTTCAAAAGAATCTTCCAAACTTATGGATAATTGGCACTTTCTGCGCGAGCAAGAGTATCTAGAGAAGCTTTTCGTCGTAACGACACAGTAATTAACTCAAAAAACACAAAACCATGAATTCTATTATTTATTAGATACATAATAGAATTTATAAACATAATAGAGAGAGAGAATTAGAATTAGATATTATAGAATTAGATATTAGAATTAGATTAGAATTAGATTTGGATACATAATAGAATTTTAGAAATAGGTTTTGTGTTTTTTGAGTTGATATTTATTAGATATTAAAATTACAAGCTGATATTTATTAGATACATATCAACTTGTAATTTTAAGTTGAAGCGCGATATAGAATTTGATAATAATACAGTATTCCTTTTACGTGTTGTCATTTAATTATCTAACTAATTAAAAGTAAATAATGGAACTCTCTAACGGATGTTTGCAACACATACAATTTTTCATCCCTGCGAATACGGTAAAATGTTTAAAATACATACAGACATCTGCGTATACGTATAATTGAATTTTTATATTTTTTTTTAAACATGATTGGGTCTCTAATAGAAGAGATAATAATATTTTATTGATTCGAATTTCTAATTATGTGAATTATAAATTTAAGTAATTTTAAGTAATTCATGAAAATCTGTTATAACATATGTAATATTGTGTAGTTGCATTAAAAATTCGCTGAAAATGGTGTAAAGAAAATGGCGCCGACGACGTTTATTCAGCAAATATGAACCATGTCTACATATAATCTGACGTTTTGATAAATTGTTGTAAAAAAAATCGAGGAAAATGTCCTCACACACTACCGCTCTAGTCGAAGAATTGGCAAAGGACTATGCGAATTATGCAAAATTGGATTTGTCTAATCAAGCGAGTATTATGTCCTACATAACCTCTATAAACAATCCGTGAACGATGTTGAAGCAGGTTCTTTTACTGCATTTCACATATCCAAAAAGTGGTTTTCGTATTTCGAAGTACAAGCGGAGTCAAAAATGCATTCACGTATTCAATTTTTTTTTTAGGACAACTTCCTGTAGTTAATCTTACCTACACTTCACAGTCCTTCACTACATACGAAAGCAATAATTTTTAGATAAAGAAAAAAAAGTTTAGATTTGTAAAGACCCGTAGAGAAACGCAGCAGGAGGGAATAATACTATTTTTACAGTTGAAGAAACATTCTAATGCTTACCGATGATTTTTTCGTTGCTCTTCTTATAACACAACACTCCTAAATGTACGCTCTATACAAACAGCAATGTGCAAATACATTTTTCGCTATGAAATTTGTATTTTTCTTACTCTTTCTTTTTTTTCTTATATCTTGAGTATACTTTTCCTATGTGCAGTGAAGCATTAAAAAGTATACGTTACATCAATGTGTTATGCTTTGCAGAAAATAATCCTAAAAGACTGAATGTCCTCATATTTTTTGTATCCTTTGTATATAAAACAAAACAAATGTTTCTGTTACAGATGAAAAGCTTTCATGACACTATCGAGGATGTAATGATGCGCTTAGAAGAATTTCAATCGATCATTGAAATGGTTAGATATAGTAGTAGGGAGAAATGTCTTGTTAAATTTATTATAGACATGTTATATCTTCTGTTGAAAGGTTCAAACCGAAAGAACGCAATGCATCGATCAACACATTCCAAAATTACAGGATATGCAACCAGAAGTTGCAAACCTCTGTAGACGTATAGACGCCCTAGAGCATGTTATAGCGATGGCTAATGTAAATCTAACTACTTTAGAGGCTGCAGTTGAAAATGCAGAAGCTGAATTAGGAATTTCTGATAGATTATTTGGAATGCTAAATCCTTTGTCATTTTTTGTAAGTAGCACATTTTTCAAATACAAAGTAGCAAATGTCTTTAAATTGCATTGTGTTTCAGAAAAAAAATCAAGAACCCTTGTTACCGAATAAATTACCGGTATACGAACAACCCACGATATATAGAACAAATGATTATTTCAACGGCGAGTAGACTAGACGATCGAGTCGCGAAAGTGCAATACTAATTTAAAGATTAATTTAATGGATAGATAAAAGTCTATTGTTGAATGTTGAAAAGAAATGCTAATCTTTTAAAAAATCTGAAATGCCAACAGAGAACGTTGTATATTTTTATTTTAGATGTAAGGTAAAACTGTATTGATCGCATTGATTTGGAATTATTTTTTTGATTAATGCATAAAGCAAGCATATCGTATAGACAACGTCGATTTCGTTTACATAAAAATATTAACACGCTGCAAGAGTACACGTTTTCAATTGAGCCTTTTTTTCACCCATGAAACAACCTCCAGCTATACAATGTCTCCATCGTGATATCTTTCCGATACCACAAGTAACGGAACATGTGGACCAGTTACCCCACTGATCCCATATTTTTGGGCTGGATCTAACTGCCTCGCCTATTGGAAGATTCAGTTATTCGAAACTTAAAGATTCATTATGTTTCCATACTCTTGCAATCATAAACTGTGTATTAAATTTTCGAGACATTTGACGATATATCATTATACGTCTAGAAACGTATATTTTTGTAGTCTAAACAACCGTAGACTAAACAGATCAGTTGTCGATTATATGTTCATTTTATAATTTATTAGATTTCGCACCTACGTCATTTTCTTCGTTTCTGTCTGGTTCGTCGTTGTCGTATTCACTGGCAGTTTCAAATTCAAGCGACTGCTTCTTACGTAGCAATTCTTCATTTTGAACATTACCCGCTTTAAAAGAGGATAGTGTCATTTTATAAGGCAAATACGACATGACAGTAGTCAGAACATTTAAGGCTTGCAAGTATACCATAGGTATATTTTACAATTTGCTTTTTAACGTATGTGGCATGATATTGTATGTACACAACTTGTATTAGTAATAATTTCGCGTAGCATACCCATCTCAATGAAATTATCTGTTAATCTACTTAAAATACATAATACCACCGATCAAATACAATAGAAATTATTATTTTGAAACAAACACTTTTCATGAAAAAGACAAAGCTGCCAGCATATACGGAGTGTTCATAAAATAAAAGTTTAGTAGACATTCTGTTAAAAATTTCTGCTTGTACACAAATTCACGGTCTATTCGTGGTACATATGCTGCATACGAATCGAGTCTAAATAATTTGTAGTATATTTAACATAAGGTATTGTTATACTACATAATACATGTATGTAGGATAAGTACATGTGCAAATAGAGATGTGTTTGTGGGAAATATCAATGATGTTTGGTAGATTATCGTTATCAGGCTTTAATCCCAAGCCAATTCAGAATATTTTTGTCGCATTTTTTCAACCGACATGGTTTTATTTGTGCTTTTTTTAATCCCTTTGTGCAGTCTTTTCCCGAACAATGACGCCATCGAACCTGTCGACCATTTCCGCAAGTTACACTACATATGCTCCAATTACCCCATTCATCCCATCGTTCATGATCTATAAAATTTCCAAACAAATTTTTGTAAGCTAAATAACAAGTAACAGGAAATTGAATTTACAGTTGTAATAAGTGTAATGAAAAAAAACATGTTAATCCTTCATACATGCATACAAATATAGTTACATATCTTTAAATATTTGTCGATTACATCATACACGTACATATTTCCTTAGTTTCATCTTCGTTTCTTTTTAAAGACCCGGCACTATTTTCATGGAATAAATCGTTGTTGATAGGTTTTTCTTGGATACTTTTTGCTAAATAATTGAGCAATCTTCGACCACAAATTTCTGACTTTTTTAAAGAACAGAAACTCTGTTGAGGTCTCAGGATCGATGGGTCTCTTATATATTTTTGAGAATTTAATTCGCTAATCTACATAGTGAGCTGAATTAATATTTTCGTAAAAAATCATTACAATTATTACGTTATACGATGATTACTATATTATTAATATTGAATTACTAACTGACTTTTAATCCAACCTCACTATCCGAATTCTCTTGGAATACGAAACCAAAACACTGAATCATCGTGAATACATATAATAATTGCATAGCACGTTCCCTTGAATTCTTATGTAATTAAAAGCAGAAGCGCGTGAACGAAAAAAAATCAGTTAAAAGTTTGATACGTGCGATAATTAAATCGAATTCTATTTATTGCTAAACTGAAAATAGCGTTACTACAATAACTGACTGATTTCATTCTGTATCGAATACATGTGTATATTAGATGTATTTCATTATTCTGTCCTTTTTGTATATGTTATATCAATTAATACTATAATCATATCGTTCCGACACGCTGTGTTCCTCTAAATTTCACGCTCAACATTTTTATGATCGTTTTAAATCTATCACGTAGCGCTTATGTTCGATAGAAAAATATTTTTCACTTATTACATTCTCTCACAACAATATGTTGTGTTTCTTTGATTTATAATTTAAATTTGAATTAACATTAGATAGATTATACTAAATTATTTACAGTCTAAAAAATGCCTTATGTGCACGACCATTTGGTATTTGTCCTTGAAGCCTTAATCGCCTCACAGCTTCTCTTAAATGTTTTGGCAGTAGTGGTCCTGTTTCTTGATGTGCTTCCATAACATCGAGAGCTACAATTTGAAATACAGTTGCTAAATAAAAGCATATTCATTTCATTAAAATGTGGTCAAGTATATAGGTTTTACCTTCTTCCACGATTTCTCCGACAAACACTTTTGCGATACCAGACATAGCAATGACTACGTTTTGCGAAACGGAACAACCCGTAATTGTTTGCATAATCTATAACAAAAATACGAACCGTAAAGCGCACTTAATAACAAGCAAAACGCTAAAGGAAATGTAAAGTGCATATACATGTATAAATTAAAATTAATCACATACTCTTTTTATGGCTGCTTTTGGAAATGCAGCTCTCCTATACATTTCGTATCTATCCAATTGATCTTCTGTGAAATTAGAAACCAATACCCTGTTAAGAAAACAGCATAGGTAGTTTTAAATTCATGTAAAAGGAGGCTGGATTAACTTAATCATCTCAAATATCTCGCTTAATGTTGATAATAAAACAAAAGGTCACATAAAAGTCATAGCATCATAGCCAATAATACATAAGTGAAATATAGCATATATATAAATATAGCATTATTGGTACACATAGATAAATACATACTGCATTTTTTCTCTCTCCTCTTCTTCTAATTCTCTCTTACTTTTTTCTTTACTTTCTCTTCTTTCTTTGAGACTTATTGGATTCGCATGTGGTAATACTATGTCATTTCCAAATAGATCCTCTGTACTTTGCTCCTCTTCTCTACTAGTGTCAATTTCATGTTTGACAATATCTATTTGATCCTCCGCCAATGTGCCTAGCAAATTAGAACTTGTTTCGTCCACATCTGACTGAGATTGGGAACTCATCGCATCAGATTCTACCTATAACATTTGGTAGCTCACGATTATTGTTATTTAATATGTATACAATATACCAGAGATTTTTTACGACATACCTTAACATGCATATTATCGGCATCCATTGATTCCGTATCTTTAGATATAGAGTTTCGGGATGGACTATCCTTCCCTTCTTTATCTTCTATGTCTATGTGTTCACTTTCATTTCCAGAATCTTCTTTTCCAAAAATGTTATCCATCGTGCAATAAGTTATATATTTCCAAAGCTATATAAAATAATCTATTAAAACATAAGAATATTGTTGTAGATTTAGGAGCAATTACAGCATACAAAGAAGGAACAACTTTTAAAGCATTTCGAAAGGTTTACCTAATTAAAACAGCTATCTCAATTGTACCAAAAAGGTAATACAGACTCAAGGAATGTCAACTCAAATATCTAAAACACTCTGATTCATAATACACCATTGAAAAGTTGTTATTCGATTGTTCAATTGTTTGTTGAGAAAATAACTGAAACCAAAGCATTTAAATTGTATACAAAATACGAGGATATGCACATGTAATTATTTTTTGACAGTGTCTTGTGCAATCAATCAAATGATGCACAAATTTCAAGAAGTATACACAAAATACTAATGCATTATTTAATAAGTCAATTTTTGGATTTCTTTAGTAAATTTGTACAATAAATAAATATCATTTATCTGCTTCATTCTTATATTTCTATATGTATTTTGTTGATTCCTGAAACTATGCAAACACTGTAAACAAATATATTGAATACATTCTACACTCACTTTTTGTTAAATAAAACCACACGTAAGTAGTGGAGAAGGCATTAATAAAAGCGAACGATAAAACGCGTGAAAAAATATATGTAATTCAGTATTATATATACATGTATATAGGATACAGAACTCTCTATTTAAAAAGTCACTCGTTTCAATACCATGTCCGATTTTGTACATGTATATATTTGTTTTTGTTTTCGCCGTAGAGCATTCTTATAGAAACGAAACTCTGGCATTCTATAAAACCAACTTATAGTGTGCAATAGTGTGCATGCGTCTGTAAGTAGTTAGGCTCATTGCGAATGCACATGTACATAAATTCATGTATGATGCATGAATGTTGTGTACGTATATACAGTAATGGGACCTACTTCTGCACGCTTTTCTTACTACCTAAGCTAGCGCTCACAACACCACCATTTTACTGCACATCCAATCTGCAGTGGATCCAGTCCGAGCAGTGTATCGTCAGCCAATCAGAGCAGAGAAAATTTCTATACTAACCCTCGCTAACAGATCGAGTTGTGGCCTAAAGCTGTGCAGGAGTGGGACTCATTACTATACATTATACAATTCGAGATCTTTATGCATCCAATGCGTCTGCGTATACAATTCTAATCATATGCATCATGTATATGTATACTATGTACATACATACATAAAATTTGTTTTGAATATGTACATATATAGAAATATTTAGTTACACGTTCGATATGGTACAAATAATTTGTTGAAGAATATTTGGTTCATAAAATTCTGAATACTTGTTAAATACTACTTTCCATATTCGCATTGTTTTCTTTAAGTATTATATGCACCACGCTTTACAACATTTCCAATTTTTCGCCGGCAGTCTTTTGTTCCTTTTGAATCGAACGGCTCGTATTATCTTGAAAGAAGCGACAACACTGTCTGTATATAGATTATAGATCATCAAGGTTACCCGAACGTGAAATGTACCAACAACAATTATACTTCTACGAGACTATTCTACGGTTTCGGTGTAAATCTGTAAGCCGTGAGCGAGTCACACCTGTAATCTATGAATCGAATCTAATTTGAGAAAGGGGTCGACGCGCGAAGATACATCATGAATCAGGGATTGAGAACCTCTGATCCAACGAGTTAAAGGACCATGATCGAATCACGCTGGCAGCGTGGCGCCAGCTAGCGGTCGAGTGAAATTTAGTCGACGGTGTCGCGACGCCGCGACGTATTTGTCAATATCTCCTCGTTTTCGTGATTTTCACGGTTCATAAGTACTTTCGTTGGTCGGGAATCAACACGGGAACGGTCGTTGACGGTCCGAGGACGATACCGGTGTTGGTCAGCCATCGGCGGCGAATTCGACGACGAGTTCGACGACGCGAGTCCCGAGACCCGATCAAAAAGTGCAGAGAGTTGTCGGCGCGAAAAACGGACATCGTGAACTGACCGGGACTCTCTCGATGCATAGTTGGTGGCTGTTAGCTGTTAACTGTTAGCTGTTAGCTGGTTAGTTCGGTAGGTTGCTGGCTCGCCTGAGCGAGTCTATTGTTTGGCCTACCTTGTTCGAGAGCCAACGGGGGTAGATGGTACAGTGAGTGAGTGCGACACAGTGAAATATCGAAAACGATCGGCCGAAGAGCTGTGACCGCTTTTAGCCGCGAGTTCTTTCTACATATATATCACATCGAACACCGCGAGCCTACGAATGCAGCTTCAAGACGGAGCCGCGTATTAAGATGTGAGTACGGTGTGTGCGAGCCTTGGAACGTGCTTGGAACTGTTCGAGCCGAAGTCGTATGTAGCTGCCGTAGCTGATGTGCACGGCTATTCGATAGCCGTTCCGTTTCGGGATTTCACGGAAAATTATGCGAAGGAGGAGGGAGGAGAAGGAAAGAAAGAAAGGGTTTCCAGCGACGGTTCTCCGCCGAACATAATACCTTGACTGTCTCGTCTTCATAGACGGTACGAAGGACCATTGTTGTACTGTACATAAGAGACATTCTCATGCGATCATTTACTTTGCGATCCTGGTAGCTGGTAGGTACGCGATGGACGCGCGCACGTCTCTCTCCACGCATACTGTCGCGCGTACCTACCTTGCCTCATGCGTGTAGATACATTCTTGCGTATGTATACATGTATACAGACACACCAGGCTAGGGTTTAGCAAACGATTTCGCGTTGTAGTTGTGCCTGTGCACGGATTTTATACGACGTACACTAAAAAAAACTACGAAATATCGTGACACAGGATCACGCGTGAAACCGGTCCTGTTCCGACGAAACCGTTGTAACCGTTGTAACCGTTGAAACGGTCCGCCCTCCTCCCGCATTTCTCGTTTCTACAAAAATCCGTCGGTCCCGTAAAAGTTCTCCATCTTTGGCTATTAGTACACTGCGGATCTTTATGCGGAAGAACTATTCTTCGAGCGGTTCTCGAGAAGCGGGGGTTGAATGGAAACGCGTGGATTCCATTTCAAATTGAAACAAAAGTCGAGAAAACTATAGCGGTAATATTTGTGTGTTCGCGGTCGATACTCGTGTACCTCGTGAATGCATAAAATCCGCGGTATACGTACTCGCATGTGTGTAGTTATTAGTTCTCCAACAAAGGACATATACATACGTTGAAACGTTACGCGATCGGTTACCCTCTAATCCTAATCCAACGATTAGAGTTTAATCCACGCGATATCGACTTTTGTCAGTCACTATCGGTTGGTTCGTGTCCACTGTTACCGTTTCCGAAGTTTTTCTCGACAATTCGATTATTATTATTATTTCGAACGCCGCGCAATTTCGTTTCCTTTAGGCGGTAAGAAATTGTACGTATTTTGGGCATCGATCGATCATCGTTTCTATTATACACGTAGTACGTATTTAACCCCTTAATGCACAGTTTTTTTGAAAAAGGCCGGCCAAAAAAACATCATTTTTTTAAATGTAAAAAAACACAATTTAGAACGTTGTCTTGGCAAGAAAATTACAAAAATACAAAAATAATGGATATTTATACAATTGGTATGATTTCTAATTTTCAGAATATTACTATTATTATTATTATTGTTATATTTTATTTTACATTATATTTTAGTAAAATATATATTGAAAAATGAGCAAATCAGAATCTGAATATGAATACGCTGTCGGAAAGCGGCTCACAAGGAAGAGATAAGTCGTAAGTGATAAGTAGAAAAAGGATATATTTTATACTTGAATAAGTAAGTGTTATAGCTTACAATCCCATGTAAATGATAAATATCAATAAAACGGTTGTTTTTTCTTTTTGCTTTCACATTGTTATTTTCAATTCTCGATTGCATTCGAGTGTGCAAAATTATAGCAACATAAAGTACAACGCCGCTCGAATTATCTCGAGTGTGCACAGTTTGGCCAGTTTAGCGCGCTCGAGTTAACTCGAGCGTGCACGTTAAGGGGTTAATACATAGCCTGTTACGATTCCGTTGAATGGCGATCTGCTTATTTATAGTCGTATACAGATGCGAATTCATTTTTATCGAGCAAACTTTAATCCTTGTTCATTGTCCAATATCAAAATGCTTTTTGACTGTTTCGAACAACATCGAATTACCGCGTCGCGTCCCATTGCATCGAATCTGTACGTTTCAATGGTTTCGTTTCGACGTGTCACCTTCGCCGATTATTTATTAGATGCGCGTAGCACCGTGTACGCACGGGGTTTATGTAGCTGAAATCGCAAATGTCGCGTACATTCGAACATGGGTGCGCTCGAGCGCACCTAAGGATCAACAATCTACGTATTTTCTGGTAACCGATAGACGGTTGGTCCAGTTCGCAAAAGATTTTCTTTTTTTACAAATTCGTAAAAGCTAGAACGATGAATGTAATTTGTTTCTTACCATTACGAACATCGAAGCGTATTTGAGTAATATTTAAATCGATTGCGGCATACAAGGCGGTATCCATCCGCAGCGACGGTAACAGGGACTTTTGAATTTTCCCGAAAAAAGATTGGACATTTTTCGGAATGCATTAGGTTGGCAAGGATGAAATTTGTAGTTAATAATATTGCTAACTTTAACAGCTTATTATTTAACGTTGGCTTAATATTTCACCGTTCTATATTTTTTCTTTCGTTCGAAAGTTATACATCTCGCCTGTTTAAAGAAATCATTGTAAGCTTTGAAAAATATTGGAAACTGTTTTTGAAAATTAATTCTGTTGAAAATTGAACGGTCGGAAATTCGCACTATTATAAAGTACGAGTTCTTACGTGGAACTACGGCGTCGCGAACTGCGCGAAACATTAATAGTGTATTTGGCTCTAGTGTAACCACACAGCAGACAGTATCAAATTGGTTCGTCAAATTTCGTACATGTAACTTTAACCTCGTCCCAAGCGCGGACGAGATTCATTATGATTTTATGAAACCTGGCTCATCGATCACAGCAGAAATACACTGCAACCAACTGGATGAAATGATGCAAAAACTTAAAGAAAAACAGCTTAGATTGGTCAACAAATCGACTCCCATCTTATTGCATGATAACGCTAGACCACACACTGCACAAATAACGGTGGCAAAACTACAGGAATCGGAGTTGGTACTTCTTCATCATCCTCCATACTCATCGGACCACTTCTTCCACAATTTGGACAATTTTCTCATAGAAAAACAATCTAATTACGATAATGTTGTAAAACTGGTCTTCCAGGAGCTCATTGACTCTCGTCCGCCAGGGTTTTATACCACTGGCCCGAACAACCTGCCGCTTAAATGGCGAAAGTGCATAGGCAATATGGGTGCATGCTTTGATGAATAAAATAATTTCTCATATTTGTAAGTTATCAAGCAACTTTACCTTCTGTTCTACAAATTTCATCGTTGACGACCCGATCGTTTCTCGGATACGTCCAAGAGGGTGATGCAGAAGAACAGGTTTACAGAGAGGAATTACTCGTCAGTTATCGAAACGGACCGATTGGAAAATAAAAGTCGTGTGTCGCGTGTGCCTTGCGTGCGCCGGGGCGCGTAGAACGCGCGGAAAGGTGAAGAAAAGACGGTCGTTGGCCAAAGGAGAAACGACCGGGAGAAGTCTTCCCGCTCGAGACGATCCGAGAGACCTGTTTTAGTACGGAGCTACGCTCTGTCAGATCTGCTCGTTCGCTCTGCCAACGATTTCTAGATCGCGGAATCGTCGCGTCCTGCCGCGTCGCGTCGGCGCGCCACAGATCCGAAAGTAAAAATCATGGGAGACTTGCGCCGAGACACGGTTTTCCTACCGTGTTCTTCGTCTCAGTCTCTGTTCCTTAACACTTAGCCAACCGAACGGGGAGATCTCCCCGTTTTAAAATTCAGTCGGTGGACGAGCGAATGGATGATTA